TACCGGGCGGGCGGCGCCTACGGCCGCGGGGCCCCCGAGCTGCTGCTGGAGGGCGCGGAGACCGTGCGCCCCGCGCTGGACGCGCCCGGGAGGCTGTGGTACGCGAGCGTGGGCTTCGGCGGCCTGGCGCGGCTGCGGCGCGGCGAGCGCGTGTTCGTCAACATCAGCCACCCCGCCCTGGTGGACTCCCGCCGCGGGAAGACCTTCTTCGGGGCCGTGATGGTGGGCTGACGCCGCCCGCGGGGACGGGCTTCGCGGCCGGGGGTGGGGGGACCCGGGCGCGGGGCGGCTGCTGTGAGCCGACAATAAAGAACGCGCCCGCGAGGCTGAGCCACGTGTCTGGTCGGGGCGGCGGTTAGGCAGCCTATGCGCTTCCCTGGGCGCTCGCCGCCAGGCAGGACTCCACGCGGCCGGTCCCCCTCTCCGCCTGAACGGCCTGGCGCCAGCATTGGCCGGTTGGAGGGTAGAGGGAAGGGGAGCTCCTCAAACCCCAAAGCATCTCCAAGCACCTGATTTCTCAGAGCCGCAGCCCCCCCCCCCACCCCCCCGGCCCTCCCCCGGCAGTGAGGGGGCATTGCTGGGAAAAAAGGCGAGCGCCGCTCAGAAAGGCCCAGCCGCAGGAGCAGCCCTGCCGGTGCCGAGGAGCAGCCGGTGCCGAGGAGCAGCCATTGTCGGGGAGCAGCCGGAGAGGCCCGGCAGGACTGCCCCAGCCCGCTCGCCTCCCCTCCCAGGAGCCGGAACAACAGCTCCTGGGCTGCAGGGAGGAGGCCGAGAGAGCTGGGCGGGTGAGAGAGAGAGATGGCCTGGGATGGTGTCTGGGACGCCATGGAGAACCTGAGGAGGAGGAGAGGAGGACAAGATGATGCCACCTTCCGGCGATGGAAAGTTCTCACCTCTCTATCGCACTTCAGGCCCCTTCCCGGAGTGGGCTAGTGTGGGGGGCCTGGGGTGAGTAACAGCAGTCCTCTCACCCCATGACTGACTTTCAGCCCCAGCGGGGAGGCGGAGGGGGACCCAAGGCCCTATCTAGGTCACCCCAGTGGGTCACCCGCCCTGCGGCACACCGCATGGTTTCCCCTGCCCGCTGTTGCCTGTAGTTTATTTCTTCACTCTACTACTCATTTCCCCTTTTGATCAGGATTTTTTCTCTTAGACAACATCGTAGATCAAACAAAACATTTTAAAGTCCCTGGATGTCAAGGTGGCAGTGCCTTCCTTGGACCTGGCATGGCCCTCAGAGTGGGCACATGGGCTAGAGACATGCTTGCCTATGAGTTTACAGTCAGCTCAGTATTTGTGCCGAGTTTTAGGTTGAAGCATTAGGAAGGACCAGTTGAGATATTACTCACATGCACCGGTTCCAGGGACTAGGCCAGTTCAGTGAAGCAGTTGTGATGCGGTGGCTCCCAAAATGACTGGTAGGCCTCTGGTGCAAATAACGCGCCTCTCCATGGAAACAAAAGAAAACAGTGTGTAAGATTGGAGCTGCCCATCAGCCCTCCCTGAGCTCTGGAGGCAGCCAGTCCAGAAGGTTTCTAGATGTCTGCTCGTCGCCTTCCGATGGCGGGAGCGGCACAGGCTGACGGTTGCCCTGCTCTGCAGCTTGAATGTCTCTGGGGATCTTGCTTCTGCAGGCACAAGCCTGTCTGTGGGTGAGCTGCTGGGATGTCTCTGACGCTTATGTCAAGTCGTCCCCTTTAGCGTGTCTGACTTGGGAAAGGGCAGTTTTAGTTCTCAGGGATTACAAATCAAAGGATTCGAGAAAGACTGGAAGTGTCAGTTTGGAGACGCATAGCCAGATGTTAGAGGAAACTAGAAGAATTCAAGATCTGGTCCAGTTTACCTGTATGAACAAAACCTCCAAAGAACCGGTTTAACTCAGTGGTGACAGCGTTGGCCTGAGGACTGAAGGGTCCAGGGTCCGATAGTGGTCAAAGGCACAGGTGACGATTAACAGTAATGACAAAATAATAATAATAATAATGATGAACAGCACTAGAATCTAATATCCAGAAAGGTGTGTTAAACAATTTTGCTCTCTAAAATAACCCTCATTGTTACCAAATATAGCCAAGACCAATTTGTTTGTGAAATAAATCTAGTTTCAATAAAGTTGGCTTGTTATTTACATAGGAACAGCAAGAATGGTAAGTAACCATATAGGCTTTTAAAAATCTGCTTGACCCGGCTGGTGTGCCTCAGTGGTCACAGTTCAATTTCTGGTTGTGGGCTTGATCCCCATGGGGGCCGTGCAGGAGGCAGCCAGTCAGTGATTCTCTCTCATCATTGATGTTTCCATCTCTCTCTCCCTCTCTCTTTCTCTCTAAAATCAATAAAAAAATTTTTAAAAAACAATCTGCTTTGCTGGAATTTGTCATAAGGAATCTTCATAAGGAACTTTAAAGGCTCCTGAGGCCAGAACAGCCACAGCAGGGACTGGCCATCAGACACGCCTGCAGTGCCATAGATGTGGTGAGTTCCTCTCTTCTCGAGGTCCCCCGAGGAACTGAGGGCCCTGCACCTGCAGGAAGTGGCCTCTTCACTCATCTGGTAAGGCTTCCCAGACGCTGCAAGCAGGGGCTGGCCGGCGGTGCCAACGGTTTCCTTAGCTTCCGTAAGCCACTCCTAATCCCTTGGAGCTGTCTGCTCCTATCTGAATCTATGCACATCTCCCTCAAGTAGGACATTCCACTGAAAGCCTCGGTAACATAACCACTTTCCAAATGTGTCCTCTGACAAGGAGAGCAGGTTCTTATTCATGTGCGCAAATAGCAATGTTGCCATGAAAATAAGAATACTCACTGTGATTTCTGAATCCTGGAGGAATCAAGTAGGTAGAAAAAAGTCAATGTTTCAATTCTGCTTACAAAGGTATAATTGCTCTAATTCACAGGTTGCTAAAGAAAAAATATTTGTCTGAAAAACAAAAAAGTAAAGAAGCAGCAATATTTCAAATAAGAAGTCATAAAAATTGTAATCATCCTCATCAATTCATTCAGTCCCAGGGTATTAATTCTTGTTGGTTTTGCTCTTTTTGTTAACTTTGAGGAATCCAGTTTTTCTTTAAAAAAATATTTTTATTGATTTCAGAGAGGAAGGGAGAGGGAGAGAGAGATAGAAACATCAATGATGATGGAGAATCATTGATCAGCTGCCTCCTGCAGGCCCCGCACTGGGGACCGAGCCTGAATCCCAGGTATGTGCCCTTGACGGAATCGAACCCGGGACCCTTCAGTCTGCAGGCTGACGCTCTGTCCATTGAGCCAAACTGGCTAGAGCTCCAGTTTTTCTTTAGAGTTCTGCAAATCCTCATCCAGTCCTAAGGTATAATCTAACAGTTAAACAGAAATATGTATTTTAGAGTAAGTGTCAGAGTCCTCAACATGAATGTCTCTGAAGATGAAACATATTTGCAAAAAAAATCAGAATAAGAGTGACTCCGTAAATGACAGTTAGAATGATGTGGTTAAAGATCTGATCACAATGCAATTGACAAAGAAATTTGCTTTTCTCTGCAACACACAACATTTTGAGATAAGTAGAATTACATTATACATTATAATTACATGAAAACATATCAGGATATTGTAGATTCCTAGAATTTTAATACAATTTCTAGAACATTTATTTTAATAATGATATTGCATACAAGTATAACACAATTATTGTTTCTTATTTGACAATTCTTCCCATGTAATTTTAGCAACTCAAATAGACCTAACTAGTTTATTTTCCTCCTTTTTTTGTTTTTAAATATATTTTTATTGACTTCAGAGAGAAGAAGGGAGAGAGAAACATCAAAGATGAGAATCATTGACCTGCTGCCTCCTGTAGGCCCCCACTGGGGATTGAGCCCCCACCCTGGGCGAGCACCCTGCCGGGAACCGCACCCTGACCTCCTGGCTCCTGGGTGACACTCAGCACTGAGCCACCCGGCTGGCTGTTTTCCTCCTCCTATAGAGAGAGAAGGAGCATCCTTTAAAATGCGTCATGGATTCTTCTTAAAAATCTCAAAAGTTATCTTTAGGTTAGGAAAGAAAGGGCTCCAATTTTTTAATTTTGGGAAGTTTGTCAAACATTTCAAAAGTTTAAAAGTAACTGGTCAACTTTCTGAGGGGTCCCGCTCACCGCTGGTGTTGGCCGTCGTGGGACTCGGGGCTCCCCGGGAGGGCCGAGGCTGGAGGCAGAGGGACACGTCTCCGCCCAACAGACAGACAGACAGACAGACAGCCAGCCGGCCGGGGCGGCGGGCCGGTGCCGACCCCTCAGGTCACTGCAGCGGCGCCTTTGCCCAAACCGTGAGGTGTCCTGGGCCCCGCGCTCATCACCGGGCGGAGAGCCTGGCGCTGCGCTGCGCTCCGCTTGGGCCATGGCGCTGGCCCAGGGGAGGCGGTGGTGGCGACCAGCGGCCGGGAGGCAGGAGAGAGAGCCCCAACCGGCGCCCTCACCCCTCCTGACCCAGCGGCGGAGGGAAGCCCCTGCCGGGGCCACCGCCTGTCCCGGGCTCGGGCTCCGGGTGTGCAGCCCACTGGGATGAGCCCGACCGTGTCCGCGCTGCGTGTCTTGTCCCTGCTGTTTGTTCCCTAAGAGGCCTTTGGTTTGCACCCCAGGTCTCCGGCCGTGTGAGCCTCACTGGGGGGCCGGGACCTGTTGTCATCCTGTGCAAAGCCCCGAAGGAGCTGTTCCCGCAGGAAAGCCGCAGGCTGGCCAGCCCGCAGCTGCCTCTGTGCTGAGTAACACTGGCTAGTCGTCACATGCCCATCTATCACAGCTTTGGTTGTTAATGTAAAACTACAAAAATATTAAAATGATTCTTTAAAAGTAATAAATAAATAATAAACATAATGGTCAAATAGGATCATAGGTCCCTGTCAAGCAATACCTGGTTACGTTTAATCATTGTGCCGATTAAAGACTTCACAGGCAAATGCAGAAAGTTAAATATTTGTAAACAAAACTTAGTTCTTTTAATATTAAGAAGACTATTTACCTAAGCAATTACAGACCTAATGGTACAGAGAACATAAAATAATTTTAATAAAACACAGAATATTTGCTTTCTCTTTATAATTTACTAGAGGCCCATTGCACGAAGAGATTCATGCAATAGGCCTTCCCTTCCCCTGGCTGCCGGCACCAGGGACCCAGGCCTTTGCTCCACCAGAGCCTTCAGTCTTCGAAGCTCCTTCTCCGCCTCCGCCTACGTATTCAAATTAACCGCCATCTTTGTTGGGTTAATTTGCATACTCTCCTGATTGGCTGGTGAGCGTAGCAGAGCAACAGTCAATTTATATGTTTGTCTATTATTAGGTAAGATTAAGAATATACCAATATCTTTTTT